GGTAAAAGAGCAGAGCAGAAAATCTCAAAAGGAAGCTGGAGAAAACAAACTCAAATATTATTACAAAATGTGCAAAGACCTGGAGTTAGAAAAACAAAAGGGAGTTAGAAAAACATTCCTCAAGCTGAGGGAACTGAAGAAAAAAATTCAAGCTTTGATTTAACAATATTGAAGGATTCTATGGACAAAATTTTGAATGATGCAGAAAGGATCAAAAGAAGATGGAAGGAATACACAGTTATTATATGAGAAAGAGATGGTTGATGTTCCAACATTTGAAAAGGTAGTATATGATGAAGAACCAATGATATTGAAGGAAGAAATCCAAGGTGCATTGAAGGCATTGGCAAAGAACAAGGTTCTGGAAATTGGTGAAATAAAAATTGAAATCTTTTTTTAAAAAGTAAGCTTTTATTCAAGGCACTCAGTCATCTATGCCAAGAAATTTGGAAGACAATTACCTGATCAACTGACGGGAAGAGATTCGTATTTTTGTCCATTCCAAAGAGTGGTGGAATGTGGAAATAACTGGACGATATTATCAATATCCCATGGAAGTCAAAGTTTGGTAAAGATCATTAGAAAATGACTGTAACCATACTTTGACAGGGAACTTCCAAAGGTTCAAGCCAGATTCAAAAGAGAATGAGGATTGAGGGATATTATTGCTGACATCAGATGGATCTTGTCTGAAAGCAAAAAATGCAAGAAAGATGTTTATCTGTGGTTTATTGACTACACAAAGGTTTTCAAGTCTGTAGATCATGAAAAGCTATGGACAGCATTGTGGAGAATAAATATTCAGGAACACTCAATAGTGCTCATAAGGAACCTGTACATAGACCAAGATGCAGTTCTTCCAACAGAACAAGGGAACACTGAAGGTTTAAAATTAGGAAAGATGTGTGCCAGGGTTGTATTCTTTCACCATACTTGCTCAATCTGTATGCTGAGCAAATAATCCAAGAAGCTGGATTATATGAAGAAAAACTTGGCATCAGAGTTGGAGGAAGAATCATTAACAATCTGTGATATGCAGCTAATACAACTTTGCTTATTAAAAACAAAAAGGACTTAAATACTTACTGATGAAGATCAAAGACCACAGCCTTCGACATGGATTGCACCTCAATGTAAAGAAAACAAAAATTCTCACCACCAGATGAATAAATAACATCATGATAAATGTTCAAAAGATTGAAATTGGCAAAGACTTCATTTTTCTCAGATCAATCATCAACATTCATGAAAGAAGCAGTAGTAAAAACAATCAAATGATTTGCTTTAGGTAAATCTGCTCCAAAGATCTTTTTAAAGTGTTGAATAGCAAAGATGACAGTTTGAGACCTAAGGTGTACCTGGTCCAAGCTCTGGTATTTTCAGTAACCCCATATGCATACAAATGTTGGATAGTGAATAAGAAAGATGGTAGAAGAATTGATGCGTTTGAGCTATGGTATTGGAGGAGAATGTTAAAACTACCATGGACTGCCAAAAGAACAAACCAATCTGTGTTGGAGGAAGTACAGCCAGAAAGCTACCCGGAAGTCAGGATGGCTAGACTGCATTTTTCATACTTCGGACATATTGTTAATAGGGACCAGTCCTTGAAGGATATCATGTTTGTTAAACTGGAGGGTTGGGGAGAAACAGGAAAATCCCTAATGACATGGGTTGCCACCGTGGCAGTAGCGATGCTCTCAAATCTATCAACGATTTTGAGGTTGTTGTGGGATGGGCAGTGTTTTGTTCTGATGCACATAGGCTAGTTATGACTTAATACTGACTCGATGGCATCTAACAACAAACATAAAAAAAAAAAAAAAAAAAAAAAAACATGATTGATTTACTGACCAGGTGTCGGTGTTCAAATAGAGTTTATATTTCGTTTTTCTTTTTGGCCTGTTTTTTTCCCCCAACCTAACATCCAGAATACTTTTGAATATTTGTTGTTGTTGTTGTTAAGTGCCGTAGACTCAGTTCCGACTCATAGTGACCCTGTACAGAGTTTTCATGGCTGTAAATCTTTACGGAAGCAGAAAGCCTCATCTTTCTCCCGCGGAGCAGCTGGTAGTTTCCAACCGCTGGCTTTAAGGTTCGCAGCCTGGTTCGTAACCAGTATGCTACCAGAGCTCCTTAGCAGGGTACTAATATGTATATTTTACCTTATGTTGGCATATTATGTTTCTCCTTCTTTATACTGGCTGGCCTTTTGAAAATAATAATTATCTAAATACTTAAATAGTTCCAAGGAAAATGCTTTACGTTTTTAAACTTGACGATTTCTATCTTCTAAGATATATATATATATATGTTGTTGTTGTTGTATTTTCTAGTAGTTATATTAGTAATTATTTGTCATATGTATGCTAGTCCTTTTTTCCTATTATTAGCTTTAATTAGAATTTATAAAACTAAAGTGTGACTATGAGCTTACATCCTTTGCAAATGCTTTGTTTCCATATAAATCTGTATATATATATGGAAACAAAGCATTTGCAAAGGATGTAAGCTCATAGTCACACTTTAGTATTATAAATTCTAATTAAAACTAATAATAGGAAAAAAGGACTAGCATACATATGACAAATAATTACTAATATAACTACTAGAAAATATATTCTTGATTGCATTGTTTCCATATATTTTATTGGTAACAATAATGTAAATAGGCTCATAAAATATGAGACACTATTTTCCTTAACTTTAAGTTTTTCTTTTGTCAATATAAACTCAGATTCCAGTTTGAATGTGTTCCAAAATTGTGATTATATATATATGTTGTTGTTATGTGCTGTGGAGTCAGATCTAACTCATAGCGACCCTGTACAGTGTTTCCAAGGCTGTAAATCTTTATGGGAGCAAAAAGTCTCAGCTTTCTCCCATGGAACAGCTGGGAGTTTTGAACTGCTGACTTTGTGGTTCGCAGCCCGATTTGTAACCACTATGCTACCATATATATATA